GGTTTTCGAGCCCTTCTTGCGTCCTATTTGGGCCGACTCGACAGCGTCTCTGTGGACCATTGTTGGAAGGTTACAGATTCATCTTAAGGAGCAATCTCAGAAACCGTATTCATCGTGAACTGTGTTTTTACCTTTCAAAGAATTTAGGAGCCACTCATCTTGTTTTGCACACCTCCAAATGTCGGTCGAGCTCACCTGTGCTCACAACGGCTCATTCCTTCTAATCATGAGCTCAGAACTTTCCGAAAGACCAAATCTACGGAATGCTGACAATGAATTCACAATTTTCAGCCGAATTTCATTGGGGAAACCACCCCTGTTGGTAATAAATATATGGTCGCAATATGGTAGAATTTCTGATGTAAATCACAAGGATTGAAAGTCCAATTGGATTGTTCGCGATGCCCCTATATTGCTGCAAATATTGCTCTTTTTTGGTTAGAAAATCAAACGGCTATGCATGCTTTCCTCATTGTTTTTATTTATTTATTTATTTATTCATACACTCCACTGAGTGCGCCACAACTAGCAAATAAGCCACCCGACGCTACTGTGCAATAAGAGAATAGGAAAAGATAAGGGGACAAAATATGAAATCACTGGGACACTCCGATATCCAGATGCTGCAATGATGAAGAGTGCAACGAAGAAGCTCTTATAGCCAGTAACTGCACCAGTTGGCCATGGTGCCCTCATTCCGGGAGAGGAGTCATAGGACGAAGCCGGAACTTCGGCACACGGGTATGCCAACTTCCCACGTGGAACCGGCTTGTAAGCTACTGGCTGAATAGCAAAAAGTGAGCGGTTCAGTGAATATTTCACTAGCCCAGAAGCATCAAGGTAAGCAGGCGTCGGTGATTGGCCTGTGCAACAGTAACAGTTGCGACGGGCTGCAAGTACAATATCACTAAGAAAAAACTCTACGGAATAAACAAAAAAAATAGAAATCAAACAGTGAAAATCAGAAAAAAAAGAAAAGAAATAGAAGGAAGCAACCTATAGGTAGACACGAGAAAGAAGATGGTCATATACAACGAATGCCTAAGAGTTTTGCAGGAGAATAGTAAAAAGGGAGGTTCTCATACACAATTAAGTTCCGAGTCGTCAACGCGGCTGTCTGTTGACACATTCTGCATATTTTTCAGATCTTTTTGTAGAAATTAAGGCAAGACAAGTGTTCGCAACGAGAAACTCGTGGGCAAAAATAGAGACAATTTTGATAAATATGGTTAAAAGGCTACTATAATGGTCCCGGGGCATTCTGACCCTTTTCCTCTTCTTCCTTCCTTTTCTCTTCAGCAAAACATCGTTCTCGAAATCCAGCATTTGGAATTCATGCAACTTTACTAAGGTACTAGGTAACTGTTTTCATCTCTGAAACTCCATTTCTCCTCTCTTTTATGTCTGTAGATCTCAAAATGCATCGAAAACACTTCTGCGATCGTTGATTTAACTTCTCCTTCACCTACCATGCGGCTCTACTTTGTTGGGACGTTGGGCTTCAATGAAGTGTCCGTGCAAAAGCGATCCTACAGGACCTCCATACAAAGAATGTTTGAACTTTGGGCTCGAATCAAGGGTAAAACGGGGAGGGGAGTTCTACATAAATAGTTCACATTGGTCTCTCCGCTTAAGATCTTTCAAAGGTGAGTCAAGTACAATTACTACTCTAAGACCCCACCTCTACGACTTTTGCACTTTATGCCGATTTCCTAACCTATTTTTGACCGATTGGGCCAACCAACCTCTATGTGTTCATGCAAAGGCAGAACACCTATCGATCGTTAACTTTCACAGTTGTCGCAGTAAATTACGGCCAAACCACTTCGCCCTCAAATTTAACAGGTTATCCTTCTGGAGGCCAAGATTCTTCATTTTGAAAGCTCTAATTCCATCTTGACAGTGTTGTATGGGAAAGGCGTCCCCAACATGACTTTTTACTTCCTCATGGGAGCTATCGAGACTTTTCTGGAAATTCCTGTACTCATTGGAGAATTTATGAAATATGGCTCCAAACTTAAAAAGCAAACGTCTTCAAACACTCATTATTAATAGTCCGAGAGTGTGGAACACTTTATTACATCGCTCCGCTCGCAATTCTTTTTAATTTCCCCAAGAGACTCCCCAGGAGACAATTGTGTTCATGGGAACTCAGGATCATAAATTGTTCAGAGCAAGTTCAAGTAGTAATTTGGCTAGGGAGGTAAAAAGCTTCCGAACTCAGTGGCGTTGTCAGAGAACGTCCCCCATAAGTCTTGGCCGTCAATCGTGGAAATTGTTTTGATGCAAAGCGATTAGGCGGTCAGAGACCGGGGAGACCTGAGATCGAGGAGTCGTTGTGGTTGGGGACATCGAGAGTTTATGGCTGACCAGGTGGCAGGCCCGTGCGCGTCGTCACGATTACATTACAATACTCTGCTTGGTCTATGTCCCAACATCGTTGTGCCTTTCGACTTCCCTACTTCACATCTCTGACGACTCCTTTCAAAGCCTCAATCATTACTTACTTGTTTGGGTTTTAGAGATTTACCGCTACTTTTCTCTGATCTGATATGTATACTATGGAATTCACCGATTTCCTGTTAATAACAGTGATTGATTTTGAAATTCGAATCTCTTTCTTTACCTAAAGGCGAAAATTCCAGTGAGTTCTGCGGGAACCATCCTAGTAGGAAATAAAGGGGAAAAATGGATTTCGCTGGAGAATGTTTTTGGATAGCAATTTTCAACCGCTCCCGCTATCTGTCCTCAGAAGTGTTCTTCAGAAATACGCCACGTAATCGAGGTTACATTCAAAATGGCGGTGGTTTTGGATGGGTAGATGATCTCTGCAAGGACCTATGGGTGAACTTAATAGTAATATTGAGTTCCCCCTAACATTTATAGAAACTACTAAGTGGTTAAATTTGAATGACTAAGTCCTTCTGAACCACATCACGAGATTGAACGGTTTAAATAGCCTATGAGAAATCTGATCTGAGGTTTAACTTTTGAGTCTCATGCAGGTTGGGAAAAGCCGAAAAGCACCCTTGATCACTCAGTCTCAGTCAGATCCGTCTCGTCCTCATAGCTCGATATTGCTGAACAACTCAACTTTGACTTGACTCGCACAAGGTTGGCGAGTTTTGGACAAATTTTTGGCCTCGGACTTGACTCGAACCCGCACTTGAGCTATCCGGGCACCGTGCTCTTATCCCTTTCACTGCCGTAGCCTCTTGATCTGACTATTCGAGGAGAAGCTCAAATTGTAATTCCTACTGCAAATCTGCTTTAGCCACCGTTCCATCTCGGCACAGCTTATCGTCATCGTTCCAGTTGTGAATGTTTAAATGACCCTTTTTCTTTTTTTGTTGTACGGACATTTTTCTAGACCGATCGCAGTTTGATGGATGTACCGGGTATTTTGCACTCTTATACTTGCCCCTATGCCTACATTACATGACTCTGTCGTTGTTCCTCCTATATTCCTTCTCGATTTCCTTTGCTCTCAAGAATCTGCACCTTCTTTTTTCCATCCTTATCCTCTTTTTCATCCGTGATGAGGTCATTAATGCGGTCTTATGTCCCTAGGAATGTCCCGGTTCTCAGCTTCATCCTTATCAAAATGAAAAGGACGAAAAGAATGAACTATGGGGGTTGCTTGTTGTACAAATCGTAAATCCTCCTCTCGAATGAAACTGCTAGTACCGATTAGGGGACCAGCAAACGGTACAGGGCATGGTCGCCCAAACGGGATTGATCCAAATCCCGACCCTAACTCCATATGGTCGTGGTAGACTCAAGATATGCTAAGTTCTACTGGACGCGAAGAGAAATTCTCAGTTCTCCTGAAGATGTTACCAGGGTAAGTAAGGAATCGAAGATGAAGTGAGCCAGAACACACTTTATAATGATCGTCGGACCATGGGAGCTTACAGGCTGAATCTCCGGGACGTCAAACTTGCAAAATAACGAAAACTAACTCGATGACATGACTTTTTCACGAAAGCCTTACACGAAGGGAATCGGTTTCCCCGTGTCACTCAACGAAATGCGGTTCAGTGGACTTTTTTGGTCCGCGGCAGGTACGACAGGTACGACAGGTATGTTACTGGTGCCCGCCTGAACAAATCGATGGTCAAAGGGGCGGCAGGTGATACAGGTGATAGGGATGGCTAGGGCAGTGTGCCCGGCAAGGGTGGAGTATAGGGCATAGGGCGGTTTTAATAAGGTCGTAACCAGTGTAGGTGATACTCGTCGATCTCCTTATGTGCATAGGCATTTTACTGATCAAAGTGACTGTTGAGTCATTCGCTGCCTGACCTCAAAATGGTTTCTTTCGCTTGTTTGCGATCTCAAAACAGGAAAGTGGGTCTGATAAGGGGCCCTATGAATCATATAGCCTTCACGGTGTGAGTGTAGTTAGTCATCTTCGATGAGTTGTAGTCAGTCACCGAGAGTTTAGTCGGTTTTCCGCTGTGCTTCACATGAAACAGAACCGGATGGTAGCAAGGATGTGTAGTGACAAGAAGTGCTTATACCGGTGTTGGCATCGATTCTTAGCAATCCTTGTTAGGCCTACCGCCAGGTCTACGAAGTCCATTTTTTGGCGTCCACCCTTGTTCAGGAGCTTGAAGACACTGCTTTGTACAACGGCTAGTCCCGCGATTTCCTGTGGAGTACATATTCCAAGGAGAAGTAAGGTGCGTGGCGCGGTCAACGGGCTCGCTCGAAACTCCGCTGTGTGATCAAACCATACTAGATGGGGATTGAAAGTTGGAACATATGAAGAGGTAATTTGAAGCTTTCTGTCTGCGAGCATGTTCAGACGATACACAGATATTCCGGCCACAGCCGTGCTTCAGTGCATTTGTTTTCTGCCGCCGAATATCGGATTGCATATCCTGGACCCTTGGCTATCCGATTTTCCATCGTCCCCTCCTCCTGACTTCGTATCGTTCACTGGAAAATTTTGTTTTGAATCTAAGAATTTTTTTTTCAAAATTTATCTGTATTTTGAGATGATCAGCTCACATTTTTGTCACGACAGTGATGGGTGGGTCCGAGGTTTTCCTGAGATGAGTCTCAATTGGTCTGCTCAGCGTTCATTTTTGGCCATTTCCTTAATTCTTTGGAATCATTCTTCACCATTCTGGATTTGTAGCATTCCATTTTGGATTTGTTCAACCCTGAAACCCTAGCGGAAGGCTGAGCTGATGCCTTCTTCAGTATATTTGAATTAAAGCAGCTATTGATCAGTTGTAATTAATTTAAAAAAAAGCTTTTAATTTTTTCAGTTCGGAACATCTACCACAAATACCAACGATCTCAAAGCAAGCAGAATCATCTTCTGAAACGGATGACGCGGACAGAGAAGTTGCAGAGATGACACAAAACGTTGAAAATTCAGAAAAGAGTGGACGTGAAGCTACAGCTGCACTCGATCGGGAAAAGCACAAGTCAGTTGACCCCAAGTTGAAGTCTTCCATTCAAGAACTTTTCAAATTGATCAGAAAAATCTCAGAAAGTTCTCGGCAGATTACTGTAAATACAGTAGTGAACAAATAAATAAGTTGATGAATTTGATAAGAAAAACTTCCAATAATTGCGCGAATAAGGTGGCAATAACTCGTAATTTGAATATTTGCAATAGAGGACTGTACAAATGCTTCTTCCATATCCCACTTATTCTTAACTTGGCATTGAATCCTTAAAATTTCTTCCTCATGAATTCTTAACATTTTTCGCCTTTTCCATACCTATAACATTTCCTAGAGTTTTGATGATTGGCTTTTTCCCCATTAACTTTTCTCTACTTTGGCCATGTCCGTACCACCAACATTCCCATCAGGAACATGCTAGACTCCAGGGGATACTTCTAGCCCCTTCTTTCACATGCGAAGGCGTTCATAAAGCTTTGTTGCTTGTACTTTGACTAATTTATGGTGAAGAGGGTAACGATTATTACACCACATCAATGCGGTCACGCCAGCTGAACGTTGTCTCCGTGCTTGAGTCTTCTCGACTTCTCGAGGGTCTACTTTTCAGAGCTGTATTGATAGTTTGGAAAGGTCAGCAGAGTTTTAGAAGTAGGGAAAAAGTTGGCTACCCCGGTTTACGTTTCTATCGGTATATTTCCACCGTATTCTGGACGATAGTAGTGACCTGCATAATGAAGCTCTTGGAAATCATGTAAAAGTCGGCATGAGACCGGAGTGACTTCCTAAGCTTTCCAACACCTACACTGAGGGTTCTGAATCATTTTCTTGGGCTATACCCCTTTTATTGCCCATCAGCGTTTGCCGTTTGAGGAACATGATCCAGCAGTTTCTTCTGAATCATCAGCCCTTCTTCTAGTGACCTTAGCGTCCTTCAAGATTTTTTCCAAGTTCAATTTTACTTTTGTGTGCGCAATTTCCCTTTCTATCGCAGTACCGGCGTGACTAATCTTCTGATACGTAGAGAAAGTACAGGCTGCCAATGTTGTTACAGGATTTAGTCAGGTTAGAAACACTTCCCACCTTTGATTTTTTGTGGTCTTCGAATCAAAAAATGTAATATTTTGGTTTTAGACCGGAGACTTGCCAGATCTACATACTTTTTACGCAGCATTTCGCCAATTCAATCCGAAAATACTTTTTTTCAGAAATTTTACTCTAAAATTCTTTTTAGAATGTATTAGAATCTTTATTGTTCAAACATGCTTCTTTGGCTCTCTAGTGAAGATCGAATAGCAATCCAAAATAATTCATAGCGTTCTGTAACGAAGATTTGGCCAGCGTAGGTTCAAGTCAGGCATTTTCATCGAACCCTTTCTAGGCTAAAAACTGACATATACATACATTTCCTAGCTTTCACGAATTATTTTATGAGCTGAGTACTTGTTGAAGTCCTACTAGTATATCAGATGTAGAAGAACTGCATGGGGTAGACAAAGGCTGCTCGAGTAACTCTTGAAAAACTGTCTTTTGTCCCTAAAAGAATAACTCGCTCTATAAATTACATATTCTCATTATTATTCATTTTCATTCCCATTATCAGGTTACCCATTGACATAGCCGTGAAAACAATAGTCATGAAGACGCAGTTTTGTGGCAACCTAGAAACTCAAAACTTTCTAGAAAAGCTTATAAATGCGTAGTTTTTTATAAATGCACCCAGAGCAAAAAGACGCTGTCGAGCACCTGGGATTCCTATACATCGCAAATGCGATAATACTCGTTTCTCCCAAACTGAGAATCAATTCCTACTTTCATTGTAGAAGCAGTCGGAGTGTGATACGCACATGGGCATGATTGATTCGAACCTGTCCCTCATGCAAATCCTTCTACCATAAGTTGTCGTCAATCCTGTTGATGTAGTAAAACGCAGTCCTAAAAAACTTCATCACATAACCCAAACTCCTTCCTTTTCGGGTTTTACAATAGTGCGAAAGATAACTGGGCTCTACACCTCACTTGGCTTCTTCTTAGCACCTTTACCCCAGGTACAAGTTCCCAATGCTTCTGCATGTCTGACGAGGTACTTTCACAGTACCGTAGGGACGAAGGGGAGGGGGCGGCTGCGAATCCTCACAGCATTTCACTCCCAAGTTAGAATACATGTTCCTTGTGCCACTTTGAGGCCTTCCTCAACCCTCTGTTCCTTTTTTGGTTGCTTCCAATGAATTCTGCTGCTTTTATTTTTCAGATTCTCAGTAGGTTGAAGTTCTGATTCAAACATGAACTATTTTTGGTTTTTGCCTTCACGTTTTAAAAAATAACAAATAACTAGTGAACAAATAAGTAAATTCCATAGTTCTCGTCCTACGAGTCGTTAAAAAAACTTTCATTTTAGGTTGTTCGCAGAAATGGAAGAAAGCATAGCGATGCTGTTGGAATATGGGGAGCATCAAGCGGCTAAACCTCCGCTGTCACGTAGAAATCTACCAAGAGAAAAGGTGAGCCACATTATCACTTATGTGTCGTTTGACCACATATCGAAGGGAGTTATAATAACGTGCAGTGGCTAAGAATTCTCTGTGGGGATACGTGACGAATGAGGTCAGAAATTCCCTGAGAAGTAATACAAGTTTATCTTGCTGAGGGTAATAAGTAGTCCCTGAATAGACTTTTTTATCTTCGCCTGATTTCCTACTTTCATCCTCTGATTTCCCATTTCCTTTTCTTAGTAGTTTCGGCGGACTTTACACTAATTTCTTCTTTTAGAATTAAAGTTGTGAATGTGTGACATTAGGTCAGAGTGCGAATTTTCCGTGCCTAACGAGTGGCGCCGTTGTTCAGGATGAATTCGCCTTAGGGTTTGCCTTCAAAAAGGCTTGCTTGTCGCGCTCGGAAAATTCAACCCCTGACAGAAAGGTCTACGCCATTGAAATGGATTACGGGAAGGCGTATGGCCTACGGGAGGAGATGGGTAGAGTGATCGCCCCTGAAGGTGTTTCCCCGAAATTTTAACGTGATTTGATGGAAAGTTAGTCGCTTAGGATAGCTCACCACTTCAGTGACCCATACCTCATGAAGTTCTCTCACCGAACTCTCAATTCATGGTGTCTACTCATAAGTTGAGAATTATCAAAAATCTGACTGAGAGCTATTTATATTTACTACTTATTTACGGATATTAATATTTATTTACTCTTCATTATCACTTAATTCTGTTTTACTTTTTGACTTCCATCTTGGAATTTCTGATAGTTTTCGAAATTATTTTTCGTATAAGTCCGCAGAATTTCCATTCAGCTCCGCTTCGATCATTTGAAAGAGCTTTTTCCTGTCGAGCTTGAGACCATTGGTTCGCTGACGTTAATGGCTAGTTCGACACTTTAATCAGCAATGATAATGAGGCTTGGAGCATGTAATTATGTCTCCTATCAGCTGTACATACGAAAGAAGAACATTGATGGCCGTAGAGAACGGCTGACGGTGTGGGTTAGTCATCGTTAGATGACCAACCGCAATAGAAATTAGGCAAACGACTCATCGACCGTCGTTTTGGTAGTCAATGAGGAGACAAGTCGTCGTTGGCGAAGCTGAAAAGTCACTGCCTCCATATGGACTTCACTCGCCAGTCTCTCCCTCTTCACTCTGTTTCGTTCATACTTCTCTCTTTTTACAGTACTCCCTCTTTCTACGCAGTGTAGACCCTCAGACCATACCTTGGTGTCAGGCATGAATATTTGCCAGAAGAGCGTCTGTGAAGAGGGTTGTTGGCCCTTCATCTATCAAGTCCCATTCAAATTTATGAGTGAATATTTGAGATCAGCTGGGGGCGGAGCTACTTAATGAAGTTCCATCGAAATTATTTCGTTTCGGATAAATGAATTAAAGTTCCACACTAATAGCTAGGCGATGAAATCGGCGGAACAAATTCTTATGGACTTTGATTGGAATTCTCATCCTTTCAGATTCATTTTATCCTTCACCAGTTCAGTTGAGATTTTCAGTTCTAACTGAAAATCGAGCAGTGAGTCTCACTATTGAAGGGGAGTAAACTTGAAGTTGAAATCATACAAGCCACTTCGTGTTGATCTAGCTTCATCGGATTCATTGATTTTCTGAAGAGAGACGGATTCGAGCAGAACTAAGGGCACTATAGGGTACTTCTGGTCCGAAAAAGTTGAGATATTGGGGGACATAAAAGATAGAAGGAAATTGCCGTTTTCATGTCGCTTACAGTGACGGTTCTTGCAGTAGTCACTACGCAAAATGGTTGACTTATAAGCAAATTTCAATAAAATTAAACAACAACAAAACAAAAAATCGAATCCATTGACAAACTTCGTGGCAAATGGCAGAATCGCCCGTAGTCGACATTGGCTATCTTTTCGGGATGTCAATTACATAAATTTCCCTTTTAGTATAGTTAGCTATGCATTTTGAGACACTGACAAATAGCTATCCCAACTATTTTAATTACCCTTTTCAGTTTTCTTTTTGTTGAAAGTTTAATTAGGTGAAATATTTCTATTACCAGCTATGTCTGATGTATTGCTGGCAGCAAAAAACGATTATTTATTTCAGTCAAACGATTCGAATTCCCTGAAACTCTCCCACGCTTCGGCCACATCAAAAACCTCGTCAGATTCGTTGCCATCTGGTAAGTTCTAACCAGTCATTATTCAATTTTTTAGCTCATCAACAATGATTACATGGATCAGCTGACTCTTTATACTTAATCACTTGGGAGGAGTTCACTGCTGATTACTTTTATGCAGCTAGTCTGGTGCACTCTAGCCAGCCTTAGTCTCAACACCTACTTCGCCCTCCTTTCAAAATTAAGCCATGGATCGAAAAGCCCTTTTTATGAAGTTAGCATACTTATTCCACATTTTGCTCTAAGAATTTCGACCTTTACAGGGCCTCTACTGTCGAAATGCAATTCTTTTGTGAAGCGAGGGATGATGAGACTCTCAAAAGGGATTCTCATTTTCTATTCGCTTTCGGAAACGCCACGGTTACCCATGGAGCCGTTGTTCCCAACCAAATATGGCTCTAGAAGGACGACACCGATTTTTATTGCTCATTTTCCTATGGGCTAGAGGGTACTTAAGTCGTGATCATTTTGCTCTGGGAAAAAGAGAAGAAGAAAATGAAAAATCAGGTTGAACTGGGATCGGGAAAACCATTTCTTCAGCGGGGATGACAGTGTTTGGTCATTCTATCATTTTGTTTTCAACTTGTCCATTAGAATGCAATTATTTGATTGAGTTATAAGAAATTAAGCTGTAATACCATGACAGTAAGGTTAAAGCGGTGATGAGTTCTTCATTAAAGATCGTCGACGATCTGGAGGCGGTTCGAACTTGGCAATGACTGAGAGCATCTACGATAATATGCCAAAGGAACGACGGAAGAAAACTCAAGGTAGCCATTATTACATTCGGATTGTATTTTCTCATATGTTGTGTGGAATAGTTTTCAAAAATTCGGTGCGATTCCTGTGAAGTCCTCGCGAGAAAGCCCTATTCTACTATTGAGATTTCTGTCCTCGAATATTCCTGGGTTATTAGATCATTATAATTCTCACATGGGAAATCAAAAAAAANAAAAAAAAACCTTCTTTATAGACATAAAATGTTAATCGATCATTTCGACTAAGCTTTGCCCACCCCCTGGGTCTCCAAATCTGAATCAAATGATTTGTACAGTGACAGGCGACTTTTTCTGAATCTAGTAACCTCAAGAACCTTAAAATTGATTCCACAGATTTTTCCGACGAAGCAAAACCTAACTAATAAGCTGACTGAGAAGAAACTCCGTTACCTAGAAAGCTTAGAAAGCTTTAGAGAAATTTCCGTTCTCGAAAATTCGATAGAAAAAAAGGAAAGAGGTGACGGTCTGCTGGAAACGCCCCTTTCTGCTGGAAAATTTTCACAAATGGGCGTGTCAAAGAAGCTTTGGTCTTTTGCTGGACTGGAGAACCTTCTTGCTTGAGCTGGATTAGCCTTCTTTGGAACGAGTGATCGTGAAGGTGTTTCATTGAGATCGGTGAGATCTTCTTTAGTCACATGATTGCGATTGATTGATTTCCCCATGATCACCTTTTTCATCATGGAGGAATCGATAAATCGCAATCAATCACTTCGAACTTTCTTGATAGCAGCATCAATCGAATGCCACTGAACATCTTCTTTGTGAGAGCGTGTACATGCCGCCCACTTCCCCTTTACCTGAAGCAGCGCTGCAATGAACTGTTGTTCCGGGAGTCCAATTTTTTAGGTTCCATCAGGTGATGGTGTCCCCCACCATTCGGTCATTCATGATTCAGCAAACCCCAAAACAGCATTGAATTTAACGTTTGGGAATTTTGTAACGGAAAGCGATAAAGCAGGGGTTTATCATAAGTAGCATAAAATTTTTAAAGGAAAATGATTTCGAAAGCACCACCTATGGTTTCTCAAAACTCTTGCTATGTGCATATATTCCTAGTGTGTAACCAAATGGCCAACGTTGATCTTTTATAGGCGTTAAATGGTTCCTTTCAATCCAAAATTCATTCCGTAAGTTCTAGAAAACTGGCTTACAAATTTTGTGGCATCTAAGCGGTCTGAAACTTGTTTGGCCTTCAGTTCTCGTTGGATCGCTTTAACTTGAACTGTGTCAACATAGCCCATAACCTAACCCAAACGGTGCATGACATGATGCACTGACACCCATAACCAAGCGAAATACCAGGACATCACTGTGACATAGATTTGACAGTGGAGGTAGCATTTATTTCAACCAGGCCAAGAAATCTCCCTAGGAGACTGACTGATTGGTCATCCTTCTTCAAATAGGGCTTTGAAATTTGGTTCATAAAATCTTAAACGAGAGGAAATCCAACTAATTTCATACTAGTAATGCCCTTCATCGTCTGATTGTGGTTTGGGAACCCAGCTGTTTTGAATTTCGTTGGGCGATTGAACTTTGCGGAGGCGAATGTGAAGATTGATTACGAAGTGTTTTGACTTGCACAAGTGCTAGAACAATTAACATCCGATCCCCGATGAAGCGATAATTGAAATTCGATCGATCGCTTTCAGAAATCACTTCTTCACTACCAAAACAAGGAGTTCGGCAGCCGAGTCTAACCTCTCTGGGCAGCAGCGATAACAGCAGTTCAGTGCTGCTCTCGCCAGAACAACAAAGGAAATCCTTAAAACCGATGAATCTCGAAGACACCAATCATTACGCCACATTAAATGTACCGCTCTTGTCCAGTTCTACCCGAGCCGGTAGCTGTGAAATGTTGGCCGCCTGCCCAAATGTAAGTTTCACTGAGAACACTATTTTTCTGAGCATCAGCGCCCACACCCGAAAAAAAAGATTCTAGAGGTGATCGGTAGCATATTTTTTTAATTCAAAGACGGTTCAAATTGGCTTTTTTTTCAATTTTATAAGATTTTTCTGCTTCGAGAAAGGCATTGGTGTGATACGACTGGAATTTCCCCTTCCCGGACTTAGGCCGCAGAACGAACAATCGTGGAGTCTTTGGACTAACTGGAGCACTCAAACAATATGACGCCTACTTTCATTGGAAACATCTAAGGGACATTCATTGTACAGGCCAGGTCTGGGCCAGTGGTCATTTCTAGCGCATCCGTAAAACTATTACCCACTCAAAGTTTTTGGATAGGTCGAATGATCTCATGTCTCAGAAGGGGGTTCAAGCCTGACATACTGTGGGCGAGACATTTCATCTGTGGGCGAGACATTTCATCTGAGGGCGGTCTTAATGTCACTACTGGTTGGTTGGCCCCAAATGGAAAATGCCTGGTACTGTGTCTGTTACTGTGGGCCGGACCCCAGTGGGCAGGTTCTGAAGAGCTCACTCTTCTACTTTCTTTTTGTTTGTAGTTGTTCATACCAATTTTTCCTTCCCTCACTTCTCACACTACGCCTTTACCTACACATATAGTAGTACTAGGCTACCTATTCAAGCAATACAGTACCTACTCTTAACCCCCCCCCCCCCCTTTATAAAATGGTCCGCTTTTTACTTGTTGCAACATGACACTTCAGTTTCTTCGGTTTGTTTCTCTTTTACCCTTTTTCGTTTTAGATACAGTTTATTTTTTTTTGACAGGTGACAGGTGATGGTTGAATTCCATTCAAATACCTTACCTGGGTCAGCTATATTTTTTATTTTAAAATTTATATTTTCATAAGCATATTCGACGTTAATACTACATATGTTTGACAGAGCATTACTGTCAGAATTTTTATTTTGTTTTATTTTATCTCATTATCAAAATTTCTAGCATAAGCTGAATTTTCTTATTTCACCTGTACTCAGACCTATGCTGACGTCATATTTTTTTGTATTTATTTGTTTTTTATTTGACTTTAAAACACCATGTGTAAGTGAACGCTTGTCGTCACAAGTGCTCTGTCAGCTGACGTCCATGTGTGTTAGGGGTTGTCTGGTAATGCAACTTGTCCTTCTGCAATTGGACATTAAAGCTTTCATTGGAGCTCATTTTTTATATTCAAATGTAAACAAACAAACAAACAATGTGATAATATGGATAAATAGCGTAAATCATTCTGTTGCTCCTAATATGGGTTTTTAGTCATTTTTATCTGCGCTTCCCCCCCTCCCCCTCCCCCTCCCCCGCACCTCCATATGAACCTTAATATAACAACTAAATAAAGGTAGTGTAGTAACAAATAGGGCACTATCACACGCACATGGTTCGTGGTTCGAACCTTCAGTCGGACCTCCCATCCCTCGGAGTCGGTTATTTGGTTTCAGACTCGTCTGGGTGGATTAAAGCACTGACTCGCACATCGGCTGATCAGCACAAGTCATTGTAGAGGTTAAATACGCCTTCAAACCGATTAAGAACAGATGCTAAGTGCACGGCGCATCCCAAAAACAGATTAATTAACGCGCAAGGCCTTATCCATCGTTCATTCATTCAACCATGACTGACTGGGTAACCATATCAATGACAATAAAAATAATTTCAGTAAAAATAAAATAATGTATTTATTGAAAAAGAAAAAGTGTAAAGGGTATTTTCAGGAACCGGATAATTACAATTTGGAAGCAAAGTTGAAGACGGCTGGTGAGTGTTGTGTACGAGTTCTCGTTTCACTTTTTCCAAGCAATTGGCGTTGAATGTATGAGCACAGAGGTGATGTGCGTGGTGGTTTTCCACCAAATTGGTTGCGACCCGTGGCGCTGATCGTTTAGGTCGAATTGGATGTTTTTTCCTAGTGTACTATCCGTGAATGCGATGAGGTCAACGCAATTCCGTGCGCCCAATAACTTTTTCGGGCGTCTATACATTTGCCCAACCGTCGACCACTTTTGGCTGGCTCTATCGTTTTGAATTACCTATATCGAAATGAGTCACATTTGTTCCCACCTCTTCTCGGGGACACTTTTGTCCAATAACTTCTCACGTCAAACCATATTCATAGTGTACTCCGTGTGTAGGTAGCATACTGTAGCTTGCTGTTTAGTGTGATACTGTAGCTTTTAGAAGTTAGGTCAACTTTACCCGAAAAGTTCGATTATCGAACGGGAATCAATCGATAAACAGGTAATATCGTAGTTATAAACATTTTCTGACTTTTTTCCAGAGGTTCACATTTTCTTGTCTTCATCTATGGTTTCATTCTATTTAGACTATCAGATTATGATGGGGCTTGAATACGGTTTTGAGCTGATTATAACACGATGATAACAACTTTTGCTCCCTATTTCTTCAAAAATCCTCATCTTTCTATATTTCCAAAAAGCCGCTTCGTTTTCGATCGATTATCGATTGACTGTCAAACTTTTCACCTTCTATCTAAATTATTACTATGATATACCCGAAGTCAAGCTCGTCGTGCATAACTGTAAAGTCTGCTCTGTCCATGAGGGTCCAATTTTTCTTTATGCACATTTGAGGCAAATTCTCACAGACTGAGCTCCGGAGGAGGCTCGACTCTTAGTGATTGGAAAAGAGCACCTCAGTAAATAAGCTTTTTTGACCTTCTTTCCCAAAAATGAATCCGAGC